GGGTTTGGGTCCATTGGGATTGTGTGCAGTGGGAGTGAATGGGAAGGGGTTTGGGTCCATTGGGATTGTGTGCAGTGGGAGTGAATGGGAAGGGGTTTGGGTCCATTTGGATTGTGTGCAGTGGGAGTGAATGGGAAGAGGTTTGGGTCCATTGGGATTGTGTGCAGTGGGAGTGAATGGGAAGAGGTTTGGGTCCATTGGGATTGTGTGCAATGGGAGTGAATGGGAAGGGGTTTGGGTCCATTGGGATTGTGTGCAGCAGGAGTGAATGGGAAGGGGTGTGGGTCCATTGGGATTGTGTGCAGTGGGAGTGAATGGGAAGGGGTGTGGATCATGGATCTCACTTTTTCTTTTCTGTTCTGTTGTAGAATTTCCCGCTGCTGGTGGGTGAAATGGACAGCTCAGGAAGTTTAAACGCGCAGTGTGTCCTCCTGCTGGCCGAGAGGATCCGTGCCAAAGCAGCGTTTCAGGTCTGACGCCCCCTTCGCAGGGAGGTGCCTCTCTCTTCAAGTGTCAGCATAGTCTCGTTCGGAAAATCAATCCCCCCACCTTACCTGTACTAAATCCTTAGAACAGCAGTGCGGTGGGTCAAATCCAGAACTGAACCACTGAGTTCAATTCAAATAGAACCATCTCTCTGCTCAATTCAAATTAAATCCGGTTACCGCTCCTCCTGATTGGAATAAAGTGTGAAGCTGATATGCCATGGCAGGTCCTTTTCTTTTTAGTTGAAAGCCTGGCAGATGTAGAACCAACAGTTGTGCCCGTGTGGCTCTTTGACGTTAGCTGAGAGATTAATCCCACTCTGCTGTGCTTCCACAGGAGTGTCAGTGTTACCCCTTCAGATATTTTTCCAGTGTTCCTGTTGAACGTGCTTCCAGTGCCTTTCCAGGCATCCCATTGCGGGCCACGAGAACTCACTACATAGTTTCTCCTCGTACAGCATGGAAACAGGCCCTTCTCCCCATGTCGAGCATCATCCCAATCTAAACTAGTCCCACCTGCCTGCACTTGGCCTGTACCCCTCCAAACCTTTCTTATTCGTGTATTTACCCAAATGTCTTTCATCTGACAATAAAGGATATTGTATTCTAGCCGCACCTGCCACTTCTTCAGGAGTTTCATTCCTCACACAAACTACTCTCTGTGTTTATAAAAACAAGAGTTGCCCCTCGTGTCCTTTTGAAATCTTTCTCCTCTCACCTTAAAAATACACCACTTGCTCTTGGAATCCCCCACCCTAGGGAAAAGCCACCTGCCATTCACTTTATCTATGGCCCTCATGATTTTATAAACATCTGTAAGATCACCTCTCAACCTGCCACGCTCCAGTGAGAAAAGTCCCAGCCCCTCCTTATAACTCAAACCCTTCATTCCCAGCAACATCCTGGTAAACTCCTTCTGACCCCTCTCCAGGTTACTAATATCCTTCCTATAACAGGGTGTCCAGAACTGAACACAGTGCTCCAGAAGAGGCCTCACCAATGTCCTGTACAACCTCAACATGATGTCTGAATTTTTTTTTTTTCATTAACAAGTCACTTTAACTCTGTGCTATTGCCTTCTTGATTCCCCTGCTTGTAGGAATGGTTTTTCCCTGATGCGCTTAATCCCTTCAGGATTTCAAACGCCTCCATCAAATCTCAGAAACCAAATCAGACTCAGCGCCTCTCTATCTTTAGAATCATAGAATTGCCACAATGCGGAAAGAGACTGTTCAGCCCATTGAGTCTGCATTGACCCTCTGAAGAGCATCCTACCCTATTTCTGTCATCCTGCATTTCCTACGGCTAACCCACCCCTAACCTGCACATCCCTGGGCACTATGGGACAATTTAGCATGGCAGATCCACCCTAACCTGCACAATCTTTGGACTGTGGGAGGAAACCGGAGCACCCGGAGGAAACCCACGCAGACACGGGGAGAATGTGCAAACCCCACACAGACAGTTGCCCGAGGGTGGAATCGAACCTGGGTCCCTGGCGCCATGAGGCAGCAGCGCTAACCCCCTGAGCCACCGCACTGGTGAGGGGCTCAGTCTGTGAATATTAGGTTCTCTTACCTGATCCTTGACCAGCGACCCAGAGATACAAAGTGTCTCTAGACCCCAGCTGCCTGTTCTCCACAAGGCCCTTGGAGGGAGTTTTGGAGTGGGGGATTTCCTGGGTGAGGGGAGGGCTGGGAGTCGGAGGCGCGTGGTGGAAAGGGGTACATCTCGGCACGATTACCAATTGCCACGATCTGCCCCTGTTCCCAGACGCAGCAGGACAAGTTTCTGACCTGGCAGTTTGATTCGGAATATCGAGGGGACAACTTCACAGCCAGCGTCACCCTCGGTAACCCCGACATCATCAACCAATCAGGTAAGGAGGCTCTGACTCTGAGCGCGGAGCCCCAGGCAGTGGGTTTGGAGTGTGGTGGCGGGGTGGGAGGAGAGGATGCGGCAGGCCTAAAGACCTGAGTGTGTATGTTCCTCTCTCTCTCTCTGTCTCTCTCTCTCTCTTCCCCCCACCCCGGCACCTCTCTCTTCCCCCTCTCCCTCCAGCGATTGTGGTCGGGCACTTTCTACAGAGCGTCACCCAGAACCTGGTCCTCGGAGGAGAGATAGTCTACCATCGCAGACCCAACGAGGAAGGGGCCATCCTTACATTGGCCGGCAAATACGCCAGTAAGTGCCACAATGAGGGGTCCGTCAGTGTGCCTCAGTGAGGGGAGTGGGGTATGTCGGTGTGCCTCAGTGAGGGGAGTGGGGTATGTCGGTGTGTTGCAGTGAGGGGTGTGGGGTATATCAGAGTGTCACAGTGAGGGATGTGGAGTATATCAGTGCGTTACAGTGAGGGGTGCGTCACAGTGAGGGGTGCGGGGTATATCAGGGTGTTACAGTGTGGGGTATATTGGGGTATGTCGGAGCGCCGCGGTGTGGGGCATATCGGGGTATGTCGG